ACGAGGATGTCGGGGCGGTGCCGTCTCTCTCGCTGTCGCTGGAGGGAGCTGCCCCAGCCCTACTCGGGCGCCCGGACGGTTCCTCCAGCTGCTCTTCGAGGAGCGGGTGACAGTGAAGGAGCTGGAGGATCCCGGCGGGAATTTAGATGAAAGCAGAGACCTCAGACTGTCGTTTTTTGCAGAGGAAGGGTCTGGGACACGCCATTCCCTGGTGTGGGACCCGTGGTCTGAGGGCGTGGGGTGAGGTTGATACTGAGGGGACGTGGGGACTTGCGCAGCAGAACTGAGACGCAGAAGAGAGCAGGAGCTGGGGTTCCTGGGCTAGGCACTATCTGGGGCTTTTAGCCTTCCCCCGGCTGGCATTGTCCTCTGGGCATCTCCTGTGCTGAAGATCAAATGCATCGTTAGTGAGCAAACCCTGCAAAAAATCCCCCAACCCTGGCAGTGAATAAACCCAGCACAGCTCCTTCCCCAGTTTCTCTGTGATGCATAAACCCCACCTTAGTCTGATCACTTTAGCATCCAGACTGAAACACGGCACTCCAGTATCTGCTGCTGCACCCAGGGACTAAACAAGCTTTGAATTAAACAAATGGAACATTAAAAATGTATTTCTGAATGCAAGAGCGAGCAGACAGATAGCGCAGAGCTGGGTATAATGGGCTGTTTGTGCAATTGTGCTTGGGGCTATCATTAACCCCATGTTTTTCCCGAGGGAAGGAGGACAGATGCAGGAGCTGAGGCCAAGTTTTGGTACATCAGGTATTATACAGCTGCTCTACAGGACTACAGCAGTCTTGTCTCTTCTTTCTGCAGTGAGCAATTTTTGTCCCCCTTCCTTGACCAGCTAAAGCAGTGCTTTAGCTCTTTTTCTCCAGCTGTAGCATCAGAACTTGTCTGGGATCACGAGCATAGCTGGAAGTTACCCCCATCACCTTCAAGGCTCCTGCTCCATCCCCAACTCATTTAATTTCTACAAATAATTCCCCAGAAGTTGCAATAAATGCTTCTGGAGATGAATATGCACGTACAGTACAAGCAGATAAAAGGCTGTTGCTTGCTGGGGCTTGTTCTCATCAGCTCTGACTTTAATCCTTCCAGACAATTCAGAGCACAGCCTCTGCTCTTGTTTAAGGAGCTGGCAGAGGGTTTTCCAGCCAGCTATGAGGAACACCTCCCTGGTGCAAAGGTCTCCCATCAGAGACTAAGAAAAGCCAGCGCATCATTACTCATAAGCTCGCTGCCCCAGGGCCTGATTTCCAGAGGGAAAAGAAATTTAGAAGTCCATAAACTTCAAACGGACTGGAAACTACTGCTGGAGGCTATAGCGGGGGTTTATCTCAGAGGGCTCTGTGAGGCTACAGCTGAAAATTGAGGCTAGAAGTAAAGTATTATGCTCGGGTCAAACTCGAACAAGTTAAGTTTCTGAATGCAGAGCCCTCACATAGCTCCCATACATCTGCTGGTAAACCATCAGGTAAATAATCCAGGCAGGACAGTTACAGGCTTCTTTTTATTAAAAGACATCTTCAGAAAAGATATTTTAGTACAAAAAAAAAAAAGTTTAAAATACACAAACTACAGTTGCCTTTTTTTTTCTCCAGCATCAACATTTATAAATTACACCACATTGTTATTAACACTGCACTTAAATATGGAAACAAATTAAAACAGCAAATTCATTGACAAGTTCCAACAGCCTACAAATGACTATTTACAATATTTAGCAGCTAGGAGCTCTAGCACAGTAGTCAATATGACTTCAATTGGGCAGGATGCTTGGGAAGCCCCAAGAATGCAGCTTGGTCTATATCAGGTTTTGGGGACCTGCTTTGCCCACCTCTCCCCAGACACCCACCCCGGGGGCGACGTGAACATCAGGGTACGCACCCAACGCGGCGGCGTGGCTCCTGTCAAGAAAGCCTGCTGTCCCCTGGCCCTTTAGAGCAAGTTTGGGGCAGGGATGTAGGAGCCTGCTGGGGGAAGGCAGCCCCCCAAGGCGTCAGGAGAGTTAGAGCTGGCAGCAGGGCTGGTCCTGCCTGGGGACAGTCCCTGCTCTGACCACCCCCAGCAACACCAGCAGGCTCCAGGCAGAGCTTGAGACTCAGCCCTCCAGGATCTGACCCTTGTGCGACTGGGCTGCAGGATCCCACCCATCGCATCGTCCTCCTGGAGCTGGGCGCGGTTTTG